TTCGGGATTTTTTGGCTTGATATTTGGCTGTCGGGCTGGCGAAATGGTTCCATAGATTAGTGGGGCAAGGTGTCGCCTAACTGTAGGTAGTGGTACCATTGGGCCTATACTTGTATGGAGGGGCCCTTGGGAGGCCAACTGCCAGCCTGGCTACTTCTGCATGGAGGGCGACGCCATGGTCACGGCCTGCACGGCGGCTTTCTTCGCCCACATTTTGCTGCAATCTGGACTTCAACTTGAGGGTTTAGGGTGCCCGAAGTTAGGGCTACCCTTTAAAAGGGATTATAGGGGTTATATAGGGACATATAGGGTTTAGGGTTTTGTACTAATTTCCCCAATGAATCACCCCCAACCAACTCCTGGCAATAAATGTTCCCAATATATTCAGTGTAGTGACATGATCTAGGGTGAGTATTTAGTATTAGGAGGGGGTGGCTTAGTGCAGGTGATTGCATCGTGGACTTTTCCGGGCTTCTTTCATGTGGAGCCCACTCGTTAGTCACCATACCGTAATTTTTATAGTACACATGACAGTTTCCCGAAATAGCGGACCCCAATATAGACCCCCAAATACTACTTGCGGGACCTCACAAAAGCTCCAAACCCTACATAGCCCCTATAACCCCCCCACCCCCCTACATCGCCTACAACCCCATTTGACTTACCCCTACGTTTGGGAAACCTCAGCATGATAAGGGTGGTGCTTAGGCCAGGGTTCAGGGCCTCGGTTTTCTAGGCAAGCAAGGAGCCTTCAGGGACCTAGGAACCCTGATTTAGGATTTAAGGGTTTACGATGTAGGGTTTAGGATTTAGGGTTTTTGGGTTTAGGATTTAGGGTTTAGGACTTAAGATTTATAGGGCTTAGGGCTTCGGATTTAGGGTTAAGGGTTTAGGATTAGCTTCGGGTTTAGGGCCTACTAACTACCCAACATGGGGGATCAGATAGAAAACAAAATGGGAAATGAACTGGACACTGGGGCTGTATATTTACTGCGAAGGGTTTTTAGGGATCCTTACCGACCTCACGGTCCTAGACTCTGCACATACCTGTCGTATAGGGTACTCCAAATATACCTCACAATGATATTCGTACTTATTTAAGCTTCTACGTTGGGCCCTGAAGAAGTCCTAAATCCTAAGCCCTAAACCCTAAATCTTAAATCCTAAGCCCTAGGCCCTAAGCCCTAAACCCTAATGGTAGAGGCACACCTTGCTCATCAAGTTTGTCGTGCCCATGTTTGGTCTGTCACTTGGCTCCTGCTCGAGGTGCTTCATAGACAGGTTGCCTCACTGGTTCTCAGTAGGTAATAAGGAAATGTAATCCCTCCGTAATCCCTATACAACAAATTTCCTTCATTCTCTACTAAGAACCGTTAAGTAAATAGTTTTTTTGTGGGGTTGAGGGAAAGTTCGGGCCCAAAATTTGAACAGTGGTTGGGACGCAGTCAAAAGGGCTACTAGGATTTAATTCTGCCTGCTATTCAACTGTAGTTCTCCCTCGTCCAAGAGCCTCTCTTACGGTTGCTTACAGTCCGGAGCTGGATTCTCATCACGCGCGCTGTTGGCGCAATCTTGCTTTCAACCAGGCTGCGCTTGCAGCAGGAGAATCGTGAATCAACAGCTCCTCGTATTCATACCTGCAGCTACAGCGCAGAACCCTAAATCCCCAGGCTCTTTTTTGGGCCCTGCACGCTGAAGGCCATGATCAGCGGACTTAATGCCTTTGCGGGACAGAGCAGGCAGAGTCCGAGCAAGACATTCCAACGAAACAATGCCCACGGGATTTTTCGTTTGCATTCAATGATCTTCAATGATATACATGCAACCTATGTAGGAGTTTGCGAAAATGCTCCTAGCGAAAGCTGAGAGGCCAGTGGCGCAGTGGCGCAGTGTAGTCTTCGAGTGTCAAACCATTCCAAACCAAAAGCCAAGTTCGTTGGAGTGAACCAGGTTAGTATGGATTTTCTCGGTGGTTGGCATACATGTCTGATCATGCTCCCCACGTAATTTGTGAGGCGGGCCCCCATGATTCCTATCGGCAGGGCCCCATTTTGGAGAACCCTCCCAAAGCTCTGTAGCACGAGCCGTCATCCAGCCCACATGATGGAGTCTCGTTTTGGCACCGCAAACAGGAGCCAGCAAGCCCAGAACAAAGTCACGAATCCCCCCGCTGCTTCAGAAGGTTGAGGTCTTACCCCTTTGTATCCCACACCCCACACGGTAACCGAGCCTGTGCTTCCTTGATTTTGTGATAAGAGTGCCTTGATCATCAGTGTTGTCTAAGGACCGGCGCCTCAGATGGTGCAGACACCAACACCTACAAGGAAGCCCCTTTTGCATTGCAATGCAAGACCTCTTGTGATAATTCAGGCTCCCAGAATAAGAGCTCTGGTATTAATGTATTCCATTTTTTGGAAGCCGATATGCAAACATCCTAGATGCCGCATGTAAGGTTCACATAGGATCTTTCGAGCTCATCTCACGGAGTGGAGCTGCGCAGCCTCACTGAAAAGCTCATGTCCTACCCAAATCGAAATGGTAGTTTCCCAAAATAAGGGAACCCCAATATAGGCCCCAAAATACTATAGTCCTTATTATAGGGACCCCCGAAAAGGTACCCCTAATTTTGGGAAATCCCCAAATGGGAACGCCTGATCGCCCGAAGGCTGCCGATCTAGGTGTGGAGGTTCATGCACTAGGGATTATATTGGGATAATGGAAAAGAAAATGGAAACTACTATAGTATATTCGGGTTTATTTTGGGATAATGGAAAAGA